TGATGCCCCAGGGAACATACAGAAGGTGCTAAATGAACCCTCAGTATCGTTTGTGGGAGGACTACGAGAAAGTCAAGGCAACAAAACCTTCGTTGATGATTTGGTTCTGTCTAAACAGAAGGATGAAGGCGTTGGTGTAAATGTGAACGACGAAATGATTCTACAGGCTATTGGCGCCGTGGTACTCACCAACAAGTGCGATTCGTCAGACTATTACTCTGAGGAACTATCATTCCTTGATTTGAAGGATGAAGAGGAGACCAAGAGTGCCGGAACTGTGACCTTTAGACTATACTGGGACTATTTTAAACAAGGACTGCCTGTTTCCAGGATAGTGCTGCTTGCAGTTGCCCTATTAGTAGCACAAGGTAAAGCTAATTGTATTTATAACTTGAAAATACTTCGAGGTATACCTTTTTAGTGACATGTATTATATCGTAGCCACTCAGTAAGATGCAACATTCAGTTTATGATTTCAAGACGTTTTGACTTAGACGATAATAAGACAGCAACATATATAGGGAACAAAAACTCGAATTTGGGCATGTAGGATAAGAATGAAATTAATTGCCCCAAACGTATGTCAAAATAAAGTTAAAAGTATTAAGCTAAAGCTGAANCTACGAGAAGGTCAAGACAACAAAGCCTTCGTTGATGATTTGGTTCTACCTAAACAGAAGGATAAAGGCGTTGGTGTAAATGTGAACGACGAAATGATTCTGCAGACTACTAGCTCCCTGGTACTTACAAACAAGTGTGATTCGTCAGACTGTGATTCTAAGGGACTATCATTCCTTGATTTGAAGGAAGAAGAGGAGACCAAGAGTGCCGGAACTGTGACCTTTAGACTGTACTGGGACTATTTTAAACAAGGACTGCCTTTTTCCGGGATAGTGCTGCTTGCAGTTTCCCTATTAGTACTACAAGGTAAAACTAATTCTGTTTATAACTTGAAAATACTCCAAGGTCTGCCTCTTTAGTGAAATATATTATATTGTAGCCACTCAGTAATATGTAACATTCAGTTTATGCTTTGAAGACGTTTTGACGTAGACGATAGTGAGACAGCAACATATCTAGCGAACAAAAACTTGAATTTAGGTATGTAGGATAGGAATGAAATTAATTGCCTCAAACGTATGTCAAAATAAAGTTAAAAGTATTAAGCTAAAGCTGAACTGTGTGATTAATTGTTTCCAGGAAATGAGTATAGTACGCTGCATGATTTAATGTACGCAGGGTCATGTTGTGCAGGAGAGGTATTCTACTAGTTTGGCCAGATTTTTGGTAAAGTTAAAGTAACCTTAAAGGAGTCCCTAGAATCTGTCATTTGGATAAAAGAAAAATAACTCTCTAAGCAGATTTCGGAATAGCTAACACGTTCACAAGTTCACAAATGACTGTGAACTTCTCATTAGTTCAACGTTTGATGAATGATCACCAGTGTGGCTTGCACGAACTAAATTCTGGCAATCAACATTTCCTTGACATGTTTTCCAGATGTACTAATTATTTGAATGCCGTCCCAGTTTGCCTCTTAGCTCCAAATTGGTGGTTGTCCAGAATTGCAGGGATGTCACTTGACCAACAGAAAGCCCCGAACACTCATATCATTCACGGTAGTTTGGTGGCGTTGTCCCTTGTTGTCATGACAGTGTCGTCTTTCTCCTTTTACTACCTCCTCC